AGGCATATCCTGCAAGGTCTCGCAATTTGCTACGGATACAGCCATTTCGTTTTTAGCAACGGCTTGCTTTGTGTGTCACTTCTTGGTCCTACTAACCCGTGATATCGCTCTGTTCCCTCGCCACCCCCCGGTGGCACTTAGTCGCCCTGTTCCCCTACCCCACACCCGTACACGTAACTCATGCTTCCCTCCACCATCACCCACTCAACCCCCGTGACAACTCTATCGCCTCCTCCTTGCACCTTCGCCACCCATAACCCCGTGCCGACCTATCCGACCCTCCTCTTTCCCCCTCCCCACGCCTAACACCGTGATATCCCACTATACTTCGCTCCCACCCCACCGTGATACTCACGCTTCTGTCTCGTTACACGCCTATCCTCCATTTTCGCCCATTCATGTATCCCTAAACACTGGAAATAGTTGTCGCCACCGTCTCTAATGTTTTCGTAATATTGCTGTTGTCGCCACCGTCGTTGTTATTATTGTTGTTGTTATTGATGTTGATATTATTGTTATTTACATCGTTGTTGATGTCACTGTTGTTAATATGGATTCGATCAAGAGCTAATAATACTAATTAATAAGTTTATATAATTACCTAATATTATTAGCTCTTTACCCGGTAGTTTGTGACGACCGCATGCATCTCCCGCTGCGTAGTGTTTCGGGGGCGCGCGCCCACGCGTCATGCGTGGAGCCCATCGCCATATCCGGATGGTGTCCTGCCGTGCCACGCCCCCAGCTAACGTTAGCGAGAGAGACGTCATAACGATTAGCAACAACTCAAACGTGCAAGGCAGCGATGTACAACCGCCGTCCGTGAAATTACACGCCGGTAAAACGGCACGTCATTAATTGCACGTGCGACGTTTAACTGAAATGGCAGCTGCATGAATTAGCGAGCACGGAAATACGGTTGTTTTCCCCGCGCACTGGGGCAGCGAGGTGGTAATTTGTGTATGACGATTATAGCGATAAAAACTTCCATAGGAATCAATAAATACGGAAGTCGCGTCTTCTCTGCTATGTTATAGCAGTCGGATCAACGCTTAAAGTGATTACGTCACGAATTTTCTATGGTGTATATTTATAAAATGTTTGTTGTAATTTTACATTTTACATTAAAAGTAGGTACTAACGTACGGGACTAATGTATACTCAAATTCTTACCTGATAAGATTGTTTCTCAACTAGTACAAAATCTAAAAAAAATCGGCGATTTGATATAATGGTAACGACATTAAATGCTTGCTATGTGTATGTACGAGTCACGAGTGTTTGTTCACGTCGAACAGAATAGTAAAATAGGAAGTATAATGCAGCAATTTAACCATAAAAAGTTATCAGAATCAATTACATTTTGCGAAAAAGTAGACTTTTTTTTTTACTTTTATTATTTACGGTGACGAAATCACTGGTCCATTTATATCAAGAGTCCATGAGTGCTGATATTTATATGGAACCTCATCGTTGGTATTGCCCCCCTTACCTCTGTGATACCGGAAGCGGTCAGCCGGGAGATTTATTTTCTCTGAGTCGGTTAGGTACGTGGGGAGGGGAGCTATAGGGTAATCGCATGCCCCCGGTTCCCTCGTCAACGACAACTATGGTTCTATCCACCCTCCCCTCTCCTCCTTCAGAAGTTAGGCGGAATAGTCATTAATCGTCAGGGAAATCGCTCGTGTTATTCTAATCTTCGCAGTCCCACGTGCGATCTTTTGCGCACAGCGGCGAGCGTAGAGAAAGTGAAACAAGGGCGTTCATAGTGCTTCTCC